ACTAGGGTAAATAACTAAATACCATATATACTTCAACCAGATCATTAAGAAAAAATATGGATGTGTTTACATATTTTATCGATCTCCCTAATTACTATAAATTTTAGATTTAAACACATGACTGCATTAGTCAACATTAGTATTTATTATAATTCCAAGTCTGTGGTTTTAGTCGTTGTAGTATAACTTTCGTATATTATCGTTGAAGAGGTCCTTGCGAAAGTTCATAGTTTCATTTAAAAAAAAAAATCATTGTTCCATAGGGACAGCATTGAATTTTAAGAAGCATAAATTTGGGTGAAAGACAAGGCTACCATTGGTCCTTTAATAAATAGATCAAGAGTCGAAAAGGCTGTACCACAACAATGGCCTAATTCTAGTTTACTGCTTTGTAGAAGTATAACTATTAAATTATTAAGATATAGTTTTAAGAAATGTGATAATATTGTTTATATTGGATAAATGAGAAAATTTGAACATTCTTAAAATAATAAAATTTGCGAATATTTGTAGTTCCTTTGCCAAAACGACAAAAATAAAAATATTGTGGATTCCGGTAGACTTTGTTTTGGTTAACAAAGATGAGTGCTTTGATTAAATTGTAGGAACTTGATAGATTGAAATAAGAATAATATATTGATGGAATAAAAAAAATTCAGTTTATCAGGTGAGTACGTTCGTAGAAGAAAAAAGAGAAAGAAAAAAGAAAATGAAATATTTAAACAAAACTAAATGAAACAACTAGGGCTGTAACTGGTTCTGTTTAAAAGGAATTAAAAGGAATAGAAAAAAATGGAATGATAAATAATATAGAATGAAAAACTGAATTATAAGTGTAATAGTGAATTCCATTCATTTTTTTTTATTTCTCTAGATTTAGAAGGTGGAATGAAATGAATAAATTTTAAGAAAGATTTGTTTTTCTTTTCCATTCAAAAAAATAGAATATGTGGAATGTTCCAATAAATCTATTCCACAAAAATGCATTTCAGTTGCAGCCTAGGTTTTATTTTAGTGACCCTTTGAATTTTCATTGAAAATATCGATGTTATTTATATATGATGATATGATCACAGGTTCTGAATATGTACATATGAAGAGAGGAGAGAGAGAGAAACATATTCACTCACATACCTACATACATAAATTTGGTAGAAGTGAAAGTTAGATCGTTCTTGTTTACTCCTAGTGCGGAATTTTTAATAATAACACATACGAAGCATGGTATTTGGTTCTATAGGCATCGAAGGGTGCTTGGGTCCCTCATAAATGCCGTATATATATCTACACATAATGTCTTCTGTACTTCTGGGTATATATATATATATATATATTTATGTGTGTATAACTGCATGTGTATATATAGGTGTATCAATGCATGTGTGTGCATATAATATATGAAATGTTCACTTCACTATCAGAATCATTGTTATACATAACTCTCATGTCAATCTTTTGTTGTGTTTCATTTTGTCAAGCACAACACTTCTAAAATAATACTTAAATTCATAAAGCTATGAAGTTTGGAAAATGAACTTTTTCATATCATTAGAAGGAGAGCAAAAGACAACTTATCTGATATTTCTAAAACTAATAGAGGAATACATAATTCGTAAAATAAATAATGTATATAGTCATGGTGTTTTTTCACGCGTACACATTAATAGTACGTGGACTATATATTGAAGCAGTAATATATTACTTAATGCAGAGCCCATCCTAGGAATTTATAGTCCCTAAGCAAGGGTTCGATTCCATATGGGGTTTTACCGAATTTTTTGAAGATTAAAGCGATCTAGGCGTGATCTTGCCATCATGTCACAACCAAAAAAATGTTATGTATGCCACTGTGAGTAGTTCCAAAGTTGTGTATGAAAAAATAATGATAATGTTCTATCATATAGAGAATAATTAAACTAAATTTAAAGTAAGTAAACTAGAAAATGAAAACATGAATGGGGAATAGTAGGGATATGGGGCCTTAGCAATTACTTTTTTGAAGAGCAAGTTGTAAGCTTTTTTTTTTGTTATATATTCTTGTTCAATTATGAGATTCCAACTTTCACATTACTACAACATAGTGTGGTATCCTACATGTCTCCTTTTATTTATTTATCTTTACCAATTCTTTGAATAAATTCACATTAAAATAAAATGCAATGTCTATTGCAATAACCATATCCTCATCCTCTCTCCCCTATCTTTTCAATTGACTGGTATTAAGGTTCATAGAAAACAACACATGTCATGAGAAAGTGAGTAGCATGTACTAAATAAACTAAAATAGAAATCTCTATATATGAAAACTAAAGTTGTATTCACATTGATGTAACTTGTGCATCTAATATAGTTGTTAACTGTAAAAAGTCAAACTTCTTTAAGTCAGTTCCTGAGAAAAAAGTTTACATGTCGTACATATCAAAAATTCTAATGAATTATAACAAAAAGCAATGTCTACTGAATTTTGCTCTGCCAGAAGAATTTGAAGAGGCAAAAAAACTATCGGATCTCTAGTTTCTTTTAGGTGAAACAATTCCAACAAAAGTGTACACATATTTTTCTCCAGCCCATGACAAATAATACGTTTTGGTTATTATCTAACTCACATTTGATGGAGAAAAAAAAATCAGAATACATTTTAGACCTACCCTATCCTCCGAAAAGCATTTTGGTAAACAATTCAAAGATGAATTGTGCTGATTTATTGGGCTTTATTGGGCTATTCTAGAAGTGCAGTTATAATTTGTCTCCCCCTCAACTTATAGACTTGAAATATAAACACAACACGAATGAATTATTGTTTTGTTTGTTGGTTGGTCTATAAAACAAATTACTATATATCCACATTAGTTGGAAGAGAAGAACTTCTAGTGTATAACCAAAATTAGTAAAACAGTTTGTCAGCAAGCATAATTAGTAATTAAGTGAATGATTACATAACATTGAAGGACGTAAGAAAATGATTGGCACCGTGCATATAACACTATTTTAATATAGCTTTGACATAAATTAATTGTGTGTTGGTTTTATGAAACTTTTCACATGAAAAAATAAAATTACACTATCGAGAGTAGTACTTAACTGTGAAGTTACATATTTAAAAATATTATTTTATTTCAAATCTTAATTTAACACATGCACTGATTATTGTTTAATTGATGAAAAAAGAACATTGTTTACACCAGCACAACAAATATTATCATTGCCGTCTAATGTGAAGGTAACTTCTCGTTCATGTACAATGTTATGGCTCATGGCTTCAACCTACAATCTCATAAAAGTTTAACACCAAAATTCTTAACTCTACCTAAACTTCGTCAAAACTCATTTTCCGACATCTTATTTTTAGCGCGATGAATCAAAGTGAGGAAAGAGAAGCATAAAAGGAAAAAATGAGAGCTTCATAATCTTCTTTTACGATGATAACTATTAATGAAGTCAACAACAACCTAATATAATGTCCGTTTCAAAAAAAAAAGAGCAACAGCCTAATATAATGTTACCGAGGTTGATCGAGGAACCGAGAAACCTTAAGTTAATTGAGGAAGAACTCCAGGAGAGCTTTGAGTTCTTCATAACTCAACTCAGAAGTAGTGATTGATTTCTCTACGGAAATCATGCATTCATCAGAGTCCAACATGTACTTGAACACTTTTGACTTCACTGCCTGTGGTATAAACAAGTAAAAAAAAAAATAGTTAAGAGTCCATACGATTGATTTTTGAAAACCGACATTTGAGTTACTATGAGCGCAGCTTCCAAATAGTGTACAATATGAAGTTCACATGAATTCATGGGTACACATGAATATTATCGAGCAATCAAATTCCAAACTACCAGATCAATAAAGTTGTGCCTTACATATATCGGTTTGGAGTCCTATATTACTTAAGACAATGTCGGCTAATGTGTGTTGTAACGAACTTATAAGCAATGAGATGAAACAAGACTTATTATTAGGAGATCTCGTAGAGAGTAGATCATATTTTCATTTTGTTACTAGAAAAGTTAACATTTTACATTTGTATGTTTCTTAGCTTATTTTTTATCCTGGATATAATAGTTTGTCAAGAGTTGTTAGTGATTTTGTATAAATAAATATATAGGCTAATTTTCAATAAAAACATTTAAACCTTTTTACACGACCATGGCTTTCTAACACTCATAATTGTTAACTTCTAAAACCGAAAACAAAAAGAAATACAATTGATATCTTTTCATGTTATTGTTGTTAGCAATCGATTAGAACTAGTAGAAGGTACTAGTTTTCAGTTCTTGATCAAATAGTTCACACAAATTACCAAAATAGCTTTGTGAGCGGGAATCCCAGGCCCATCACCCCTAGGTTTAACAACAACATCAGTGTGTATTCTATTTTCAGAAAATCCACTCTATCCATTTTCCTCTTTCTGCTATCTGCCATTGTTTCTTCTTCTACTTATTAAAAAACACACACACCATTGTAACGTACTCTTGTCTCAGCTGAAGCTATATGGTAAGTTGGTAAATGATAACATACGTTTAAAATAGGAAAGAGTAAAATTGTTTATATTGAGTAGTTAACCAATCATACGTATACAACATATATTCAGATTCAAATACCTAGATCTAAATTCTAAAAACAATAAAATTATGATGCAAAATCACTTAGCTGTTCTCATCCCATTAGCTAATTGGTGATACGAGGATGCAAGGAAATTCCATAAATTACTTTAATTAACACAAAAACAAAATTCCATAAGTCAAGTATGCGAGAAACAGATCAACGCCTTTTTTCACAAGCACAGAAATGCACAAAGATATAGTGTAAACTTTTAGATAAAGAAAGAAAGAAAAGAAATGAAAAATTAGTCGCCTAGTGGAGATACGGGCGAGTGAGAGAGTGGATCACGTGACCTTCGCAGTCACTTAGTCGCGTGGTAAATGAAAAAAAATGAAAAATTAAAAGAGGGATATTTATTGATTCACTCGTCGTCTTTCTGATGGTTTCTTTTGAATGGTTGTTGCAGCCACAACGAGTCAGAGCTTTGATTTTACAGAGACAAGAGTCACGGTTGCACAAGGGAGGTCTGGTTCATAGAAATGGCAACGTTTTTAAGGAATCTGTGGGAAAGGGTGTTTTCCACCCTCTTCAGCGTCCAACTGACAAGACTTTTAGCTCTCCAAAAAAGCATAGTAAGCAACTTCACTTCTATAGAGAGTTTTTCAAAACTTTCATTATTATGCTTTGGTCGGTTTGGTATTCATACGAACACAAAAAGGAGACTCATGTTCTTGTTTTGAAAGCAGATCAAAAGAATCGGAATCACAGTGAGAAGAATGAGTTTATGGCTGCTAAGAAGCAACAAGAGCAGGATGAGTGTCATTACCATTTGCCAGCAGACATGGATTTCTCAAGGACTGGACTTTTTGAGAGAAACAAGAAACTGATTACTATTAGGTCTTTTCGGTATTCATACGAACAAAAATAGGACAAATTTTGAAGATGACCAAGTAGGTCAATTAGGCGTGATTTGAAGGTCTATACATCTTTTTAATATGAAGTGGTCGAACTGTTTCTGCTCTTATTAAAGAACTAATTTTATGAATGCAAATCTTTCTTGGATATGCATTTTGAACTTTGATATAAATAATTCTGAAATAATTTCAGCTCAATAAATGACACATATATATATATATATAAATGAATACTAATTCTTTATAAAATTAGTTAAAAGTTAAAACTAGTTTCTCCATATTTATATTTGTTCCTCTTCTTTGTTTCCTATCTAAATTTCAAAATTGTATTCAATGGGTGAAGTTTGTTTTCCTTGTATAAACCCATTATTCTTTCTTAGCAATTTATCATCAAAGACGTTATCCTATTCCAGAGATTAGTCTCCTTGCTCTTTGTTGTCTCAGATTCCGATGAGTATTCAACAAAACCTAACTTCAATTTCAGTGCCTGCTTATGTTTAGATCCACTCGATTTTTGGGAAATATCTAACATTTCTGCATACTGAAACATTTCCAGGATTGTCAAAATCAAAAAGAAAAAAACATAGACCAGACCATATTTAAGAGAAGACAATGATCAATGTTTACCTGTTAGTATTCGATGCTCTGCAATTGATTCTTCTATCTTCCTTTTCTCGATTTTGCTCTTTGTGTGATCTTAGCTCTCTATGTGATCTTCACTCTGTGTGAGAATTGTTATGGTGTGGCGGGGACGAATCAAAAACAAACTTTAGAGATTCCTTTCTTTGATTTTTGAAAATTGAATTAAAATGACAGCATTTGAAAACTCAAGAGATTTGGGCTTTGTTTCGAATTTATTGGGCTGTTTTAATTTAAAACCCTAAAATGATTGTTGATTCCCTCTGTTATTTCTTTTTTTCTTTTAAATTTGTTTTCCTTGTATAAACCCATTATTTTTTCTTAGCAATGAATTTTCTTAGCATGAGAAAACCTTGCGACAAATAACAATTGATTGAATTTTGTAGCTACTAGTTCATTTTTAAGTCTTCTCAACACCTTGACTAGATTTAATCAGCTAGGTAGCTAGGTTCAGATCAAATGCCATTTTCAACCTCTTCTAAACCCAATAGTCTCTGTAGTTTTCTAAAGTATCTATTAAAACTTACTTAAAATGAATGTAATAAACTGTTAAATAATGCATTTATCAAATTTCTTGTACGACAATAGCACAAGCCCCAAAAAAGCTTGTTTCTCAATGATTTCTCTCAAGTTTCGCATCTTCTTTCTTTGTTAGTTCATCTTTGTGGCTTATCTCGATATGACCTTTGTAATTCAAAACGCTTAAATTGATTTTCCACTCATTTATATACTTTGCTATGTCGATTTGCTTGGTTACCTCGAACATTGATTTATTGTTCAATTTGCTGCAAATCGATTTACTAGCAGCACTATCAATTACGATGATTATCTAAATCTAACCACCTAATCATATGGCTTATTAAAAATTGAAAGCCTAAGTAGATTTGATGTCACCTGATTGTCATTAGTTACAAACTTGCAATTATAATGCAAGTTAACAGACTTGTATATATCTATATATATATATATATATACTCGCATAAGTTTCTCAGAATTTCCATTCTGTAGAATTTTTTTCTCCTTTTTAGTTTTCATATTCTATTTTATTATATACTCTTTTCGTCTCAGAATAAATGATCTTTTAGAATATGATTTTCTTGTTCTAATAGTACATATTCTTGTTCAGGATAAATGTCACATACACATTTATGAAATATGCAATATGGGTACTGCTTGATTTGTGGGTGGATCTCTTTTATGCAAAGTGTACCATTTGTTTTCTATATTTAAACGACCTAATTAAAGATGCAAATCAATATTCACAATTTATATAATCACTGTCTTTTCCAGAGCCCCTTAAACGAACTAATAGCCAAGTCCCAACACTTTTGAAGACAACAGTCACCTGGTCTAGAGCCAATCAAGCAAGCGAACCCCATATAACAAGCATGTAAGCAACCAAAATAGCTGCAAGAAAATATTGGCACACATAGTTTCTCTAATAATATCAATACGCATAGTTAGTGATGCTGTAATAGAGTTTGATCAGACAGAATGATCCCAACGAGGCAGAAGACAACAGCTTAAAAGCAAGATTTTTTTTTTTTTTTTTTTTTTTTTTTTGCAATAGTAACTAAATTCATATGTCAATACAAAATGATCCCATCACGAACAAAAGAGAACAGAGAGATTAGTCTACATAGTAAGAGTAAAGTGGCACAGTGACTCACATGCAACCTGATTTTTGCCTTTTTGGGTATATGCATATCTGTGTTAGCTGTTGCGGTTATGATTCCTTGGACGCATGGGAGTTGATTTCACGAAACTCTTCAAGCGATGTCTCCATTGGCATGGCTTGGGACCTCTGGTTCACGAGTTGTCCCTGTGGGCTCATACTCCTGCGATTCACTAAATGAGAGAGAGCTTGGGATAAGTTTCTTTACAGAGTGAAGAGAGTAATGTTACTTTACTATGCTGTGAGGAACAACTTACCATGTATCGTGCTGGTCGTTGTTATCACAAGCAGAGTTAACGAGCGAAGACACATCTGCGACTTGCTTGCTGCTGAGAGATTCATGAGTTAAGTTGCAGTGTTTGAAAGCTAACTCCGCATGACCCACACTAACGCATAGAAGGATACGAAAGGGTTAAAAACGCATTACTGAAAGATTGTATGTAACTCAAGAAATTGCAAAAAAAACCAAGGCAATGATCTTACGATTGCTGAAGCCAAGAAATCAGCACCTTCTCTGGCGTCATTCTCAGCTTGCATGGAAACTGTCTCCCACTTTCTCTTTGCGTCATTAGTCAGATTATGTATGATAGAGACGTGTTCATCCGAGAACGTTTTGTTGGAAGAGACGGCATCTTTAAAGCTGTGGAGTCTTGAATCCACCTGCCACGAGAAAAACAATACAGTGAAGATGTATGTGACATCAGGAAACAGCTCAAGAGGGACTGCATGATACTTTTAGCTGAGGATGCTTGTAGCTGATGTGGAACTCATCTATTGATAACTACGAAGGAAGTCTCGAATATATCCTAAATATATTCGAGAATCTTGGAAAAGGAAAAACTTGTGAAGAAAGGATATGCAACTAGATTCTAGGGTTTTAATCTTGGGTAGGTTGTATAAATAGGAAGTCGGGTTAAGTGTGGTCTGCACACTTTGCGCCGCAAGCATTAGAATTATCCTTGAGCTTCAATAGCAAAAAGAAGCTAGAAGGTTAGTGTCCTCTTCCCTGATACACGAGCTGTGTGATCGTGTGAAGAGTGGTTTTAGAACTAGGAATCTTTGGGGGCAATCTAGAGTAGAGTTGCATAATTCCAAACAATTGTAATCAGTTGATTAAGTTGTTGATTCTAGTTTAATAAAACCAGTGTTGGACTTGGCGCTTTCCAAGTATTTGTTTGTTGCCTGTTTTCTACACTTTCAATTGGTATCAGAGCAGGCATCTGCTAAGGATTGTCTGTTCTTATTAATCAGGTGTGATTTGTGGGACAAAGTATGGAAAACATGCAGCATCTCGGCTCCGTCAAGTCGCTTGTGCTTGACGCTCAGAACTACGGTTGGTGGAAAGTTCAGATTAAAGCCCTTATCAAAGGATACGATGAGGACGCATGGACAATGGTTGAAGAAGGATGGACAGAGCCAACAATTGTTGGAGCTGATGGGGTGCCCAAACCAAAACCCAGGTTAACCTGGACCGTTGAAGAAAAGTCTTGGTCCAAGTTCAACTCCAAAGCTCTCTCAATAATCTGGACATCTCTCACCATGGATCAGTTCAAAAAAGTTCAGGGATGTACCACTGCGAAAGCTGCGTGGGATGCACTTCAGGTTGCGTATGAAGGAACATCAAGCTTCGCAGAACATGGATGGACATGCTGGCATCACAGTTTGAGACATTGACCATGGGATCAGGAGAGTCAATTGAGGAGTTCAGTGGAAAGCTCAGTGCGATTGCACATGAGTCTCAAGTTCTGGGAAAAACTTACAAAGACAAGAAATTGGTCAAAAAGTTTCTCCGGAGTCTACCAGACAAGTTTCAAGGTCATATATCAGTGCTCGAAGTTTCAAAGAACTCAGATGAAATGAAATTCAATGAGATCGTGGGGATGATGCAAGCCTATGAAATGAGAAAGTCACAGAGGAATCAGGCAAAAGGAAAAAATATGGCTTTTGCTGTGGAACAAGGGTCTCGCAATCTACTGATCTTGATGATCAAGTTGGTCTGATTGTGAAAAGGTACTTCAAGAAGTTTGACAAATCTCAACGGAAGACAGGCCCTGAGATCAGAAGGTCAACCAATGAGTCTAGAAGTGAGTCGGGGTCAAGAAAATCAGAAATGCAATGTCATGAATGCGAAGGATACGGTCACTTCAAGAATGAATGCCCAACTGCAAAGAAAAAGACTACCCTCAAGTGTCAAAAGTGCAGCGGGTATGGACATGTCAAGACATATTGTGTCTCTCAAGAAAAAAGAAGGGACAGATCCTTGATCAACAAGGAAGAGTCACAATCTGATGAAAGCGAGGATGATGATGAATCGATTCTCAACTATGTCGCATTTCTTGGAGTCATTGATGAAAATGCTGACTCTGGGGAAGAATCTGAAAATAACGAGGACTTCTCAGACACTGAGATATTGGCTGAAGAAAACAAAACCTTGTGTCTCGCTATGATTACTGCAAAAGAAGAAAATGAGGGTCTACTCCATCAGATTAAAGAAAGAGATGCTAAATTCACAGCTTTGGATAAAGCCCTCAGCAGTCACAAGTTGATGATTGACGAAAAGGATGACAGGATCTTTGCGCTACAGTGTGAGGTTGAAATGGCTGAAAATCAGTTATCAGAACAAGTCAAGTATGTGGACCTCCTGAAAAGGCTTCTGGTTGAAGAACAGGAAAAGAGTCGTGACTTGAATGGGCGGTTGACTGAACAACTGAGAAACATTAAGATGTTGTCCAAGGGAACAAAAGATCTTGACCAACTACTAAATGTGGGTCAGTCAAGCAAGAGAAATTTT